AAACGGAAAATCTCCGTTTTCAAAAATACCCGTGTACGTGTGGACGTAGCCTCAGTCTCCTCAGTTAAAACTTTGCACTTTGTTAGAACTTCATAACTCAATGACAGAAAATCCAAATTTCAGGGCTGAAAAACACATTTAAGCACTTTAATTTTGTCCAAATCACAGTTGTTACAATCTAAAATCCAGAATCTCATTTTTGTTTACCCCTTTTTTTTTTTTCTAACCAACCAGTAGCACCATTATCATGGGATATATCATAGTTTCTAATCAAAACTGCAGCAACTTAATCCCTGTGATTCAGAGGAACATGGGGAAGCGTTGGTATTCTGGATCTTTGATCAGTTTGGTGGAAACTTCAGAGTCATTTTGGGTCAACTATGGCTGCTATGGGTTTCTATGACATAAAATCAAACGTCATAGCAACCGGCGGGATAAGTGACTGGTCAAAACAGTTACAAACCGTCACCTTTTCACCTCTGCTTTGATACCAGGCTCATCATCGAGCTGTGAATCCCTCAGTGTCAAACACATTTTCTCATATAGTCATGTTTTAACACTGGAAAAATGCAGGTTTTGGTTGTGAAATGGAGAAACATCACTGTGTGCGCTCGATAACAACTTGAACGTTAGACATTTATCAGATAAACTGAAGTTTTCAGAATCCTTTGAGTCTGTGATGTGAGTCTCAGCACTTAAATAAAACGTCCAGGACGAAAAGCTTTCAGCTTTTTCTCTTAAAGCTTTTAGCCGCTCTGAATGTATTCGTTTTCTTTTCTTTAAACATCAGCAGCACAAACTGCAAATGTAAATGACTATAAGACAACTTCAGAATACAACAAGATTAAGTGTAACCACACATTTATAACATATATCCTGCAAACAAAGAGTAAAAGTCAATATATATTTTATTGTACACATTGTAATATATATTTTTAAAGTGACAGCGGATCGACTACAAATGACAACAAATAACAGGACTATGCAGAGACTGTTAAGACAGTAACAAAAATTAATTGCCAGTCATGCAGAAGTCCGTGGCCACCCCCACAGAGGCTCATTTTAAGTCTGTAAAAACCCAGATATTTCCACTTCTGCATAAATAATCGGTTTAAATATCTTTTATTGATTTAGGTTATATTAAAAGGATCTTAAATAGGGAGACAGCTGGGCAGTTATTTCTATCAAAAGCAAAGCGACATCAGCAGAAAGATGTCGATGCTGTTAACAAAGTATGAAACGGAGGGATTCAGTCGGAACATGCACTCCTTTCCACACAGCAGGAAACGACACTGCCAGCCTGCCCACTGGCACTCACCGACTCTTCTTCACAGCTTTTGGACTCGAGTGTCGTTTGCTGTGTGGAGTCAGCTGTGCGCTGACTCTGCAGGAGGAAAGGATGGCACCAGTCAGGGAGCGATAGGACACGCCCACACAAAGACGCAGCAGGCCTGCTACGCCCAGAACGTGTTGCTTAACAAACAAATAATTTAAGTGGAGAGTTTAGTCCTCGGTGATCGTTTTAAAGAGCTCTAAAGTCTTGAATATTGTAGTAAAGCTGTGTAAGTTTTGGGGTTGCCAAAAATGTTTTTATCCAGGAAAACCCTGAAGATATTTTGTGTGCTGCGTCCTCGAGTCCTTATCATGACCGCACCAAGATGAATGTGACACGTAAACAAAAATCTTCTCCACAGTCCATGATTCATAAGTTTAATCATTCTGCAGTCTGTTTGTTAGCTCTGTGACACACTTCTAATCGACTGTTAGGTTTGCTGAAATCTCACAGCGTGTAGGCGCTTTCGCCCTGAACTCTGTCTGAGCCTCGGCAGGCACAAGATTAAATAAAAATCCAAAAACACATCAGAGCTTTTAACATTTTTATT